GAAAAAAACCACTCTTACAACAAATAGTGATGAAGTTAGGTGAAATTGTTGGTAATATTGGGATGGTGAGAAACATATTTTGATGCCAGGAGCATAGTTAGTAATGAGAGGGTTGCTAGCTCAAGAACTGCAGAGACTTTGGTGATACCAAGAAAATATCTTGAAATATTTGTACTATGAAAATGAGAAACAAAGACATTTATTTTTTTGAAATTTAAGTCTTCTTTAAGGAAGCTTTTGAAAGAATCATAAAAATTATATAGTAATATTTTAAGATTTAGAAGGAACCTTGGTGATCATCTGATCCAATTACCTGTAAAGATAAGAATGCTCCCTGCAGCATTCTTTTTTTTTTTTTTTTTTTTTTTTTTTTTTTGAGATACGCTCTCCCTCTGTTACCCTGGCTAGAGTGTAGTAGCATCATCATAGCTCAAAGCAACCTCTAACTCCTAGGCTCAAGCAATCCTCCTGTCTTAGCCTCCTGAGTAGCTAGGATTACTGGTATGTGCCATCACACCTGGCTAATTTTTCTATCCTTTGTAGAGATGGGGTCTCTCTCTTGTTCAGGCTCCTGCAGCATTCTTGTTAAATGTATATTACATCTGAACTTGAATATTTATTAGTGGAAATTATATTCCTTTATGAGGATTAATTCCATTGTTGAACAGCCATATGTAGTAGAAGACTCTTACTTATGTTGAAAAATCTGTCTCTACCTTTTCCGCATTGATGTAGTTTTATCATCTAAATAAAAAGTATAGTTTTCATCCTTGGTTTACCTTTGTAATGGTTTTGTATATATTTGAAGACCAAATTTTTTAAATTTGTTGATCTGTTTGTTCCACTGGTTTTTATAACATGATTTTTTTTTTTTACTTTTTAATTTTTATGGATACATAATAGTTGTAAATATTTATGGTATGCAAGCATGCAGTGTGTAATGATTATATCAGGGTATTTGAGATATCCATCACCTTAAACATTTATCATTTCTTTGTGTTAGGAACATTGCAGTTCTGCTCTTCTAGTTATTTTGAAATATACAATAAATTATTGTTAACTATAGTCACTCTGTTGTGCTACTGAACATTAGATCCTTCTATCCTTATTCCTTCTGTCTAACTATTTTTGTATCCATTAACTATTCCCTCTTTATCCCCACCACCACTACCCTTCCCAGCCTCTGGTAACCAGCATTCTTTCTATCTCCATGAGATCAATATTTTTTTTAGCTCCTACATATGAGTGAGAACATGTGATGTTTGTCTTTCTGTGCCTGCCTTATTTCACTTAACATAATATCCTCCAGTTCCATCCATGTTGCTGTAAATGACAGGATTTCATTCCTTTTTATGGCTAATATTCCATTGTGTATATGTACACATTTTCTTTATCCATTCATTTGTTTATGGACTTTTAGGTTGATTCCCTATATTGGCTATTGTGAATACTGCTGCAGTAAACATGGGAGTGCAGGTATCTCTTTGATATACTGATTTCATTTTCTTTTGGAAGATATATATATATATATAAAAGATAGATGTATATAAATATATATATCTATATATATATAGATGTATATAAAGATATATACCCTACAGTAGGATTACTGGATCATATAGTAGTTCTATTTTTAGTTTTTTGAGGAACCTCCATACTGTTCTCCATAGTGGCTGTAGTAGTTTACATTCTCACCAACAGTGTAGGAGGGTTTCCCTTTCACGACATCCTTACCAGCATCCACTATTCCCTGTCTTTTTGGTGAAAACTATTTTAACTGGAGTGAGATGAGATCTCATCTTAATTTTGATTTGCATTTCCCTGATGATTAGTGATACCGAGCATTTTTTTCATATACCTGTTGCCCATTCGTATGCCTTCTTTTGAGAAATGTCTATTCAGATCTTTAGCCCACTTTTTAAATTGGATTATTTATGTTTTTGCTATTGAGTTGCTTGAGCTCCTTATATAGTCTGGTTATTAATCCCTTGTCAGATAGGTACTTGGAAAATATTTTCTCTCCTTCTATGGGTTGTGTCTTTGTTGATTGTTTCCTTTGCTATGCAGAATATTTTTAGGTTGATTTGATCCCATTTGTCCATTTTGTTTGGTTTCCTTTTTTTTTTTTTTTTTTTTTTGAGACAGGATCTCACTTTGTCACCCAGGCTAAAATGCAGTGGTGTCATCATAGCTCACTGCAACCTCAAACTCCTGGGCTCAAAGAATCCTTCTGCCTCAGTCTCTAAAGTAGCTGGGACTACAGGCGTGCACTAGGACACCTGGCTAATTTTTCTTTTCTTTGTAGATACGGGGTCTTGCCCTTGCTCAGCCTGGTCTCAAACTTTTGGACTTAAGCAGTCCTCCCGCCTCAGTCTCCCAGAGTGCTAGGATTACAGGTATGAGCCACTGTGCCTGGCTGGTTGCCTGTGGCTTTTGAAGTCCTACTCAAGAAATCTTTGTCCAGACTCATGTCCTGGATTATTTTCCTAATGTTTTTTTCTAGTAGTTTCATAGTTTCAGGTCTTACATTTAAATCTTTAATCCACTTTGATTTTATTTTTGTATATGGCAAGAGATTGGGGTCTAGTTTCATTCTTCTACATATGGATATCCAGTTTTCCCAGCACCATTTATTGAAGCAACTGTCCTTTTCCCTAGTGTATGCTCTTGGAGCCTTTGTTGAAAATAAGTTGGCTATAAATGTGTGAATTTATTTCTAGGTTCTCTATTTTATTCCATTGGTCTATATGTTTGTTTTTATGCGAGTACCATGCTGTTTTGGTTACTGTAGCTTTGTAGTATAATTTGAAGTCAGCATACCATGAATTTTTCAGGTCCTTATCCTCCTACTCACCTGCTTTGGACTCACTTAAATTTGTTAATGGTCTTCTCCTTAACTCAGAGCTATCAATCAATGCTTTTTGGATATGCCTATTAAACTTAATACAAATCCACTTCATAGGAACATACCTGTCAGTTTTTAAGACTTTGCAAAATTAAAATGAAAAGATACTATGTCTTTTGAATTTCTTTGATAAATTAATAATAGCATAAAAACTTGATTAGGTTAGATAAATTATTTTTAGTGATCGTTATATCTTTTATAGTTGCTAATCTTATGTTTAATTGTTTCTATTAGTAAAATGTTACTAGGGATGGATGGCAAATTTATTTAGTCAAATTCTGGATGCTACCTTTTTAAAAAAATTGAGATAATATTACCACATGTTCATTTTTCTGTACTTTTTATTCCTTCCATTCACCTTGATTTTCCAGCATCAATGATTCATGTTGCCAAGATTATGTGTATATATGTTCTATGTATTCTGTACATAAATCTTCTATACAATAATATACAATTCTTCTGGGCTTAGAGGTCTGAACATATTTTAAGTGATTAGGAGATTGGAGTAACTTTATATTTCGAAAGTCTTACAGCCTCTGAGTATCGTATCTGAAAGTGACCTGAGACATCATTTAGTTCAAATCCCTTATTTTACAGATGGGGAAACAGATGCAGAGATGCCATTTTTTACATTTTTAAAATGCTTCTTACACAGTATTGGGAAGTAGCTAAGACAGAAGTTTTTTTTTATTTTATTT